ATAATTATTTATCTCATCAGGACTTAAATCCTATTTATTCTTATTAGACTCTTAAACTCTATAAATGTCCATGATTGTGAATGAACAAAAAATCTACATCCAAATAATATTCAATATTATTAAAATGTAATGTATTTTCCAGAAATAAAGCACTCAAAAAAGCCCCATTTCAACATTTTGTTGTTAAGCAACTAAAAAACTATGTAGTCAGTTTTTCAATTCATTCAAATATGCATGTAGTCAAAGGTAAATGGTACAGGAGTAAAATACTATCAAAGATGGACCAAATGTTGTGGAAAATGTAAAATTAATCATTTCCTCTTATTCACAAACTTGTGCTCCATCTGGATTTGGATCTATATTCTGCTTCCATTCAGAGTTTAAACACAAAGGATTTGTGGCTGATATCAGTGTCACAGTTTGCTTTACCAAGGATTTTCAGGTGAGAGATGAATAAACATTGGAAGTTACAGGATATGAATTCTAGGGCAATAGTTACATCATAGGAGTAAGTTTTATGAGACTCATTCAGAGAAAATCCCCAGCAAAATCTGCAAATATTATATTTTTAGCTTCATAGTTATTTTTGTCCAATTTGAAGATGCAATTGTATAAAAAGGCAATGAGCACTTTTATGATACTTTTATGCAGTATTATTTGAGCTTCATCTTTCATTTTATATTGTGATGGAGAGTTTGAGTTCAAAGGCAAGATGTAGCCCCACTTAAATGGTGAGGATTCTGGACAAAACAATTCCTAAGTACACGGACACTTCTCAGATACTTCTGGATTTATTCCTTATCTATCTTTAAAACATGACTTGAAGCAATTTATAATGTTAATCCCACTAGTCTTTCTGTTTCTCTCTCTCTCTCTCTCTCTCTCTCTCTCTCTCTCACACACACACACACACACACACACACACACACACACACACCAGATTAAAACAACAGCAGCAAGAAAAGACAGACAAAAATAAAAACAATTAGAAGAAAAAAGAAGGTGGATATGTCAGTGATGAATCAGGTGAGAAAGTACCAATGAGATGTTCAATTTTGCAATGAGCTTTCTAGAAACTAGAGAAAACAAGAAAAGGAAAATAGAAGTTACACATTTCTTTTTGTTTTACAAAAGGAAAAAGTCAAGTTTATCATCAAAGACAAAATTTTCTTAGTATTATTATAGAAGAAGTGTATGCCATGGACCCTGTCATAAGCAATGTAATGAACATGATGTAAATATCCTCAATTTATATTTTTCAAAAGTTAACAAAGTAGTATGTAAGTAATCATTTCTCTACCTAATCCAAAGGCTTCTATATCATCATATGTAACCTCAGAAAGGACGGGGATAGGCTCGATTGAGGCCAGATTGTAGAAAAGAAAAAAATAATAATAATCAGAGCCCTTGAAAGCCTGAGAAAATTTTGCACAAGCAAGTTGATGACTGCACTCAGTGCCCTGGATGAAACACAGGTGTGGCCTAGAACTCATTCCAGTGCCCTTCTTAAGGCACACTTCTTAGGCTTTGGTGTTAAAACTGAGGTTCTGATTTAGTGGGTCTGGGGTGGGCCCACACACTCTGTTTCTAGTAAGTTTCCAGGTGATACTGACACAACTGGTCCAGCGACCATGTGTTGAGCACCAAGACTTTAGGGAGCATCAACGGGTGACCTGAAAGAGCTGGGCTAACAATACTTGAGACACGTTTCCCTTGTGGAACAGTCCACACAAGACAGACTCCCAACAATCACGCCACCCTCCTCTCACATGTGACATCACTCATTCATCGCAACCGGTTTCTGGTTCTGCTAAGGGTCGTGAAGCTAGTAGATTCCTTGTTTCGTTAGGAGCTCTGCAGTAGAATATGGGGCCCTCCTAGAGAGCAGAGGGAGAGGCAGACAGAGGAAGGAGAGCAAGCAGCAGGTGTCAACCGGGGCCACGAAAGAACACAGGAATTAATCCCAAATCACTGTAAGAAATATCAGGGGAGAAAAATTACCACAAATACCAAAAACTGCTAGTCAAGCAGATGAGGCTTTATACCATTATAATTTGGGGATATGAAGAAGAAGAGGTTGGTAAATACTAGACATAATACTATTATGCCAATTAAATCTATAGAAAAACATCTCATTAAACCTGTGAGGCAGAGAGCTCCTGAAAAGTTCCCAGGAAACACAGAATGATACTTAGAAACTAATTACATTAATATGAAAATGTCACGGATATTCTCTTTATGTAGTAACTACCATTGTTGTTTTATGTTAATGAACATTCTTCATCTATATGTCCAATCTTACCTTAATTTTTTCTTTCTTTTTTTTTTTTTTAAGAGAGAGAGAGAGAGAGTGCAAGCAGGGGAGAGACAGAGGGAGAGAGAGAGAATCCCAAGCAGGCTCCATGCCTAGCACAGAGCCCAATGCAGGACTTGATCCCATGACTGTGAGATCATGGTCTGAGTCAAAATCAAGAGTCAGACGCTTAACCAACTGAGACACTCAGGGGCCCCTCCAATTTTACTTTTTAATTAAGATCTTAATATTGTCAAGCAAGAGTTCTTCCAACAGGATGCTACATCAGAATAGTATGAATTTTTATGGAATCGTATGAGGTACTGCTCCTCAAAGAAGTCAACCAAAAATTTTAGATTTACTATTACAGTGGGTAACTCAAACGTGCAGCCCAGCTTAATCTGATGGGCTAGACTTTTCTTGTTCAGCCATTTTCATTTATGGATATTGTCATTAAGAATTCCTCAACTGCAGTGCCTTTACATAGGCCATGCCCTGTTGACTTGACCACAGTTCCCAGGGCAGATGGGTAGGTAACTTAGAGCATTTATCTGCCTAGAATCTAACTGCATTTTGGGTTGTAACCCTCGTATTAGAATATTTAAGGAGGCAAATTCTCTCATAGGTCATCAAAACATGAGTAATTTTTGTATTTGCATTTGGATGTAAAGTTAACTTTAAGTTCCTGACTGTAAGTTAAATATTTCCTAGGGGATATAGGACACATGAAAAAAAAAACCAGAAAAACAAAAAAAATAAAACAAAAAAAACCCAAAAAACAAAAACAAAAAACAAAAACAAACAAACAAAAAAAACCAAAAAACCTTATAAGACAAAGTAGAGCATAATAACAGCTATTAGAGAAGCAAAAAGACAAGTTTTTGTTTTTGTTGTTTTTTTTTTTTTGAGAGCACAGATAATGAAAGCTCAGGATGATTTTCTCCAAAGAGCTCCCTGAACTAGCAGTTGAAGAATGGACAAAATTCTGCAGTCAGAAGGACCCAGAAGTGGGGAAGTGAGATGGTGAGAAGGGAAGAGATGGAGTACAGTCCCAGATGTTAAACAATATAGGCTATTGTCAAAGAACAAGGAACTGGAACAAAGTGGGCATGAAAGGAAATAACAAGAAAAAAGGGGGCATATTTTGTGAGAGCAAATTTCATTCTATTGCAAGCTTTTTAAAAAATATTTATTTTTGAAAGAGAGAGAGAGACACAGAGCATTGGGGGGGGGGGAGGGGCAGAGAGAGAGGGAGACACAGAATCTGAAGCAGGCACCAGGCTCTGAGCTGTCAGCACAGAGCCCTTCCCAGGCTAGATCTCACAAACTTTGAGATCATGACCTGAGCCAAAGTCAGACACTCAACGACTGTGCCACCCAGGCGCCCCCATTCTATTGCAGCTTTTGTCTGGTCCCTGTTCTCTCTCCCTTTCCATCAGAGAAAATTTAGCCACTTGACACAAACATGTAGGCCTACCTATCTGCAGTCTGGTAATTACTACCCTCTTACCAAGGCTGAAAACCATTGCTCTTCTTTCGACACTTGTTCACGACGAAGCACCACACAACTCTTGTTCAGGAGCCCCATCAACACCCTTCGTCCACATGCTCTGCACCAGCCTCCTCAGCCTACTGACTCACTGTGGAGGCTCTGGCCTGTCTGATTCTGCCTCCTCTCCAAGCTGTGCTTGCCCAGGCCCAGCATGCCCAAGCCCCACAGCTCACGCACAGCCTCATTCTCGTGGAGCCAGAGCATAGATTTCTAACTTACTCCTATCCATGTCTCTAGGCTTTTTTCTAGTCCCTTTTAATCAGACCTGTGGGGTCTGCCTATTTCTGTTAACGAGTCCTCTGTCTCACAGCCACCCAAGTGAAAAACAAAACCAACACCACTGGGTCATATCCCCTAAAGCTTATATTCCCAGTTATTCAACAGATCCTCATGTTGAATCCTCATGTTGAATGAAGGCATCCTCTCTATGCCTTCACTTCCTGGATATCAGAATGTTGGCACCCAAACTATTCCTACACAGGCCTTAGACCTACCACAGTGACAGGCAGCCCCCACTGAACACCAATTCACCCTGAGCGCCTACGTGCTCTGTGAGAGTCTAAAGTGTGTCTCCATATTCTCCACACGTCACAGTTAGATTCATTGGATGGGCTTCCAAGACCCTCATCCTCTGACCCAAGTCTGCCTGCTCCCTCTCTACAGCCCCTCCACACATTGCTCCCTCTACACATCCTCACCCTGGTCACCCCCAGTTCTGCACACACAGCTGGGGGGCTTGAGGCTGACAGGACTCCTCACTTTTCCAACTCAGCTCGCCTCTGCTGTCCAGGAAACCCTTCCTGACTCCTGACTCCTCATTGATTTTTTCATGCTCTCGATCCCTATATATAAGCTATACCATATTGTTTCATATCATCTTTAATATCATCTTCTGTCATTTCACATTTGTTCATTATGTCTTTGCAACTGACCCAGAGTCAATTAAAGTCACGAGTTTTACTTGTTTTCTTTTTTGTCTTTTGGATTTGTTTTACTGTCACTCCAAGGATCCAACGTGATGTTGACATGAGTATTTTACAAGGAGTTGGTGAATACATGAGTTTGAGAGTTTCCATTCTCAGTGGCTACAATTGTTTTTTAATAGTCATGTCAAAGGTGCTGGAGAAAAGAGTGCTGTGCCGAATACACACTTACCAGAGAAGACACTAGGTATCTTGGAAAGAAAGCTTTTGACGGTACGAATAGGAATTCCGTTTTTTTCATCTTGCATGCGTGCTATGACGTCTTCCATCTGTAACAAAATAATTAAAACCCTTTAAAAGTTGAACTTTTTAGAAAAATCAGTTCTTGTAACAATTACACCAGTTTTCCCCAACTGAGTATAATACCACATTCTTGCCTTTCTACACTTCATCATATTGATATTTTATTTTGGTTAAAAGACGATGGAGAAAACAGTAAGCAAAGTGGCCACTTTAAACTCCATTAAGCCACTAAAAGGAATTCTGTGCTTTGAATAGCACCTCTCTCTCCTGGTTTCACATTCTTTGGTTATAAAGGTCGACATAAAAGAGTGTTTATTTTTGAAGCTGTCAGAAACCACTGTAATAGCAAAATTCTCCCTTCGTTAATGTTTTCTCTATGGAACTCAGTGCAAAAGAAAAGAGAAACCTTAAAAGTGTCTGTGTGGATTTCCTCTTCAAGCAAGAGACTTTCTATGATTTGGTTTATTGTGAACTTTAACCCACCCTGAAAAGCAGGACCAACTGCCAGCAACTGAGGCTTCTCTTGCCCAGGCATTTACTCAAGGGTGATTCGTACCCGCATGATCAGATGCACGCAGCACTGTAGCTCTCGGCCCATTTCCACCGTATCTATGTTTCAGTCTGATTAGTACACTATCTCCTGCTTTTGAGAAGTTTTCACGGTTTTAAAGAACTGTGCTTTACAAAGCCTGATGTGGAATTTAGTTCTGAATAACATTCATGCAAATCATTACCGCTGTGTGTCTCTAAACCTGTGGCACGCATATACGCACAAACACACAGAAGTGGTGTCATGGAGCTCAACATCCAGTCATTCACGGACTCGTTCCACAAACAGCTGGGATCACCAACCCTAAATCAGACTTACCGATGGGCACCGTGGAAATGAAAATGAATGTAATACAGTTGCTGTCCTCAAAAAAAAGTCACAGTCAATACTGAAAACAGTGGTAAAATCGGAGTAAGGTTTGTGGTTTGGTTAATAGTGTACCAATATCAATCTCCTGTTTTTGGTAATTTTACTAGAATTCTATGAGATGTTTATATTAGCAGAAGCTGAGTAAAGCCCATCTGGGAATTCTCAGAACTATTTTTGCATCTTTTCTGTGTAAAATTATTTAGGGGCGCCTAGGTGGCTCAGTAAGTTGAGTGTCTGACTTTAGCTCAGGTCATGATCTCACAGTTCATGGGTTCGAGCCCCGCATCAGGTTCTGTGCCGTGACAGCTCCAAGCCTGGAGCCTGCTTCAGATTCTGTGTCTCCTTCTCTCTCTTCCCCTCCCCCACTCATGCTCTGTCTCTCTCTGTCTCTCTCTCAAAAATAAATGAACATTAAAACGATTTATTTTAATTATTTAAACAGAAATATTTAAAGTTTTAATTTTAAAAGCTTGAAATCATTCCAAAATAAAAAGTTAACAAAAATCACAGTCTAAACCCTATAACAGTGAATTGCCAAATTCTCACCAACACAGCTTCAGAATGGTTTTCAAATAAGAAATTTTATTTGCCTGGATGAGTATTTTTCACACTTATCAACATGAGAAACTGTTCACCAGAAACTGGAGAAGTGGGAAGAATGGGTTTCTGACTCAGCTCTTCTTATGACCATCCATGTTGCTTTGAGCTAAGTAAGCAACCTCTCTAAGGCTGCTTTGTCACCTGTAAGTGGTGATAATAATATTTATAATTACTCCTTTACAGTGTTCATAGGGTGGGGTTGGGGCTGGGCCGGGGTAATGATTTTAAGGTTAAATGATACAACATACATAAAGCACCATACACAGATAATAAAGCTTGGACTTCAAATATCCACATGTACCCTCAATGCTGAGGGATGTTTATTCTCCACTCCCCATGTTTTGGTTTGTTTTTTGTTTTTCTTCAGAGGGAGCACCACTGCCTCAGTTCCCTACACCTTTCTGCTCCTCACACCTGCCACTCCAGGCCTGGGCTGACTGATCAGGCAGAAGAACTGGGAAATGAGCAATTGGTTGTGGGCCCATCCTCCTTCCATTGGGAAGCCCACATCTAACTCTGCTGTGTGAGAGACCTGCCCGAGTGAGCGAGTACGACTGATGAGGACTGGGTTTCAGGATTAAAGTTTATGTGTGCATGAACATTCTTCAATAATAGCTGTACCTGCAACGCAGCTGATGCTGTGATTTCTTTCTGCCTTACGCTTTAGCTGTGGTTCTCAACTGGTTCGGAATTCGGAAAATGAAGGTGTTATAATCGGCCCTCCAGAGACCCTAACAACAGCTAAATCGTTTCACATAACGAACACATTTCATCTAACTATAGAAAACTGAAAATAGTTATACTTTTATGACTTTTTGTTTTGTTACTGTTTGCCCTTTGTTCACCTGACAGTGTCCAGGAATGGAAAATAAGCTGT